AGGGGTCAGAATATCCTTCCTGTTTTCTGGGAAACATTTGTCAAAAGCAAACCTTTGCAAATGCAGTAAAAATGAGACTCGGAGAACAACAACTTCCCCTATAAATGATGCTGACATCTGTTATAATATTGCTGTAGCATGCAGGAGGCCCCATCACACACCAGGCTCCATCATGCTAGAACAGTATAAAATACAAAGCTAGCCCCTGCTCCAAAAATCTGGCTGTGCAAACAAAAATTGTTATGTTAAATAACCTTAAATATTTACATTCTTAGGGGATTAAGAAGTATCTATAAAAATGGAACCTTTTAAAATTGGTAAAATATATTGGGATGAAACATATGCTGAAACTATAGAAAAAAAAGAGGATAAAAGAAAATGCCTCAAAAAGAAAGTCACTTCTAATTTTAGAAATTTGGGGACATTTTTTAAATTGGTTGGTTAGATATATTCTTGTCACTGTTACTAACAAAAGACATGGGGCTTTTTTAGTTCGGTATTTTTTGCTATACAAACAATGCTACTGCCTTGTATTTTGGTTACTGCTCCAACTAGAAGAAAACATTTCCACTTTCAAAAGCAGTAGTTCAAGCAAACTTTGTTTCTGTAACTCTCCATGGTTTGAATAATAAAAATAACAAGTTCAACATGTTTGTTTTAAATTCAGAGTCATCTTCCAAATGTTCTTCTTATGTGACATTTATTGTGGACATCCTTGGAACAGAAGTAATAGCCCAGACTTGATACAAAATGCAAAGGGTTATTGCCTTTTCCCATTATGATGTTACCAGAGATGGAGATGAGAACCTAGTCTAAAGATGCACCTACCCTATTGCTGACAGATAGTTGTAGAAACGGCTGTCAGTATGGCACACCCTGCTGTCTGCTTACATTAAAACCACAGTGTCACCAAGTAAAAAGTCCACATATTTTCTGGGTGTGCCTGGAATATCTGGGACATGGAAGTTCCGTGTTATAGGAATCTGGGGTTAGCCCAGACAGTTACATCACTCACTATCCTTACTGAGAGGCACTGAAGGAACTTTAGACAGTTTTTAATGTGTTGTATAAATTCTTCTAGAATATGCTTATGATGTTTCCAGAGGACCAAATGATCAATGAGTTTTCACTACATTCATTAATATCAGGAACTTGAAATTGAGATAGTAGATAGCTTTTTGAGGCTTCATTAAAGCTTATAGAAATTACAAGAATTATACTTCTAAAATCCTTTATCATCCGTAATGAAAGTCCATTGTTGATTTCATTAAACGTAAGAAGACAGTTCCTGTTACTTTCAGTGGAGAAGCAGAGAGAAAACAAAGGTAGACAAAACCATTGTTTTGCATTTTGCAGGAAAACCCATCACCAATTCCACAAATACTAAATTCATAGCCATTTCAGCTGGTGTTGTTTGGAGAAACTCCACTGAGTTCAGTGACACTAATCCAATTTATACCTGTCAAGGATCTGTCCCTAGTTGTGTGTGTGATTATGTCTGTTGTAAATGAATTGCTGTTACTAATACTGAACTAGGAGGACTTATCAAAAGAAACTCACCCAAGGATGGAAGGTAATGTCCTTTCTCTAATAACAATGGATAATGGCTTGCCTTGCCATGACAAGTCTCCTATGGAGTCAAAGTAAACATGCTGACTGCCTACTGTCTGATTCCTCTCCAGTACAAGCACAGGATAATCTGGAAACGTCCTGATCTGGGTCATGATGAGACATGTTTCACCATAACTTGTGACAGCTCTTGGCTTCTTTTAGGACTCTCAGGTAAATGGAAGGATTTGTCATAAGCTCTTTCCTGAGAGATGGATTTAAAGCAAAGCTGGAAGTGGTTTCTTTTGCAAATGCTACTAATTCACTATTGAGGGACAGAGCTTCAAACAGATCAGCTGAAGCCTTTTTCTTCTGAATTTCTTCTGTTAACTGGGGGCAGAGTGTGCCCATGTCAGACTGGGAAAGCAGTCCAGTCCACTCCACATTTCCCTTATAGGCAGTCCAGCTGATCCCAACACACTGGAAAAAAAACATCTACACTCTTTCTACTCAACTCCGTGTGTGTGAGGGGTTCTTCATATAAGTTCAAGAGCCCAAATGTTATACAAATACTACCCAGAACCAATAGAGATGAAGAGAAACACCTTTCTGAGAGAAGTACCCTTTCTTTTTTGCTTCTGAAACTAAGGGAGTACTACCTACTGTTTGTAAAGCCAAAGGGTAATGGCACAAGGCAAATAGGTAGAATCGGGTTGAGACGAGTATGTGAGGGTGTGCACACATGAGATTTTGTATGTGTGTGTGTAGGTCTAATGTCTTCACCATCTTGTATGCCAAGATGCATTCCTAGTGCTTTAATTCTACCTGAAAGTGATCTGCTCTTTCCCTTGTGTCTCCCCTGGCATCACACAGCTGAGCAACACACGCACATGAAATCCTTAAGTGGAGACCTGCCTTTGCAGATATTGCAGATGAGAAAAGTAAAGACCTGATTGCAGCAAGGGTGGGAATAAGAAGCCAGATATAGCTGCTTTTAGGTGAGTTCAAGCACTGCAGTAACAGAGAACAGGAAACATAATCCTGTGATGTAGAGAGCACAACAGTCTAAGCTCCACAGCTGTGTGTACTGCATTATCTCATTTTAATAGCAAGATGGATCTCATCCACTGAAAATTTGACACTTCTGGGCTGTTCTTTAAGAAGTCAAGCCCCAGCAGTCAGTGTAGCATATAAAAGATTGAACCTACCATCCTTTCTTAGAGTGGGGGAAAAGCTGTTTCTTTCAGACAGACAATATTATGGTCTGAAGTTTTCAATGCCATAAAACAGGAAACGTCTCTCTTGTTTACCTTCCCTTCCCCACTTCCCAGTCCTCCACAACCTTCCAACTCACCCTTTCCAGAATCTTTGAACTGATCAGGCTGAATTTGTCAGTATATAGTAAAGCTGGTGTGAGTGATGATCATTCTTCTCATTACAATGACACTAGCTAAATCCTTCTTACAGGTAGTTATTTTATCATTAACTGCTCCTTCATGCTATTTTCAGAGTTAGCTCATATTCCAAGGAACAAAAGGTACCCAAAGCGAGCTGAGGCCAGATCTTCTAATAGTGAGGGTAGCATGAGATCTGGCTGATGGGTTATGCAACATCCCTGAAGTGAGAAGTACATTGAGTGCCAACACATGTAATAAGCTGGACTGAGCTAAACAGAGGGGCATTGACAGAACCACACTGCAACTCTGTGAATACGGCCTGTGCTCCTGTGGAGTCTCAATTCTCTCCTCCATGAAAGTCACTGAGGATCTTGGAAGTGGATCCATGATGAAACCACCATTGGCTACAGTCAGGTGTTGTGTAAGACACACATAAGACATAGTTAAGATACAATCCATCTAAAGTTTCTACAAAGCTAACCGGATGAATGGCCATTTCCAAATATGCAGTTTGATCTGAAATTCAGCATCGTTTCTTGTCTTCAGTTTCATAAAGAAAGGTGAAAATATGTTTCAATAAGAGTAAAAAATATATCACATGTAGTTTTAATAAGTGTTATTGAAATATAGATTTATGTGTGTGGAAAGAAAGCTCACAGTGGCAAAATGAGCTTTATAATTATGTGCACTCATACTTAATGACTTTTTTTAAGTACTTCAGAAATTATGTTCCAGAACTTACAGATTAACACACCACACTTTCCCAGAAGGACTTATGGTTTGTCACTGGAAGAGCTAAAAACCAGCTTTGCCAAAATTTTTGATGGCAATGAGAATGCCTAGTTGAAAGTGCAGTTGCATGTAGAGAACACTGCTATAATTGATATGGTGGCCTGGGTTAAAGAGAAATCTTGGTCTGGACCTTTCAGAAATTCAGACTAGGGACTTGTATGACTGCAAAAATATTTCTAGAACTTAACATCCCTCAAATAGTTATGAAATACATTGCTAATAGAGAGCATTTGGCAAGTCAATTTCAGCCTCTTATTTAGTTTATAATTAAATGTGCTATGGGTTGATAAAAACTTCAACATTATCATGTTGAAGCCAAAGTGTTCAGAGATGTCGGTCACCTTGACCTTGAGAGAAAAGACAGGTTCGTCTTCTCTCTCCCCTGCAATCAGTTAAGCATCTGGTAAAGTCTGCTTGCTGAGCAAGTTGAGTGATTTTTAGAAAGTGCTTAGGAACATGTAGCATCTACAAAAATAGACAGTGTATTTATTTTGGGAACCTGATGTTCTCTCAGCGCAGCTGCGAATTCTTTGGTGGTATTTTATTGTCTGTATCATAAGCACTGGGCTTATGATTTTTATTGAAGACACATCTGCAAGAGAGCAAGACAACTGTTTTATTGCAGCAACTGAAACAGGTTTTGGTTAGATACTGCTGAACTTTTGTGGCTTTATTTCACTTTTGCCTCTTCTGTATTATTTTTGTCTCAAAGGCATTAGGCCCTTAAAAATGGTATTTGGAAACTTCTAGGCCTTGACTGGGGCTGCTTGAGCCAACACCAAGCTGCAGTCATAGGTGATGTTGAAGAGCTGACATCTAAGGTGCTTGGCAGCCATTTGTAAAACTGTTCTCCACCATGCTATCTCTGGACCTGTCCACGTCATTGAGATCAAAGCAGGAGGAGACCTGTGTTTTTCAAGGTCACAAAAGCGATCTCCTCACATCCTCCTGAACCTGAATCTTGATGGAAGAGTACATGCCATTCCTTTTAACTCCTCTCTCTCTTTGAAAATGTCACATTATCTGCCTCTTAACATTGTATATATGTAGGGATGCCTTTTTGACAAGGACTGGCAGATTCACTGAATAACAAGAAACAAAGACTAAAGTTACAGAAACTTTAATTTACTCTTCTACTGTAATTTATTAAAATAGATAAAGGTCCTTATTCATTAGCCTTTCTCTTCAACTGAAATATTTCCAGTATGTAAAATAGGTACTATATAAACAAGCCTCATTCAATATAACCCACATGACTTCTACATAATCCTTTTCACTTAAATACATTTATTCAATTGGAAACGTCACAATCAACATAATTTCTTAAATAGCCATGTCTAGATTTAAGCCTAGCTAATATTTAAGGCAACAGATCTAATAAAAAATGCATTGAGATGAGATCCATCTTATGTTCCAGAAAAATGTATAGGCCTTGCATATATTTATCACCCTTTTCTTTAGGTGGTTAATTGAAGAAGCATTATTCTCTTCTTTGACCAGTCCAGTGTGTGCAGTTAAGATCTACAAGAGAGACAAAAAGTCCTTGCACTTTGATGACAAAAATATCCAGAACTGTTCTGTTTCCTGAATGAGACGTGATCCATACACTACCTAGTGAAAATCTTTTTTATCAGCTATCTGAAAAAACAAATTATAGAAATAAAAATAAGTGCAGCAACACACACAACAAAAGGATTAAAACTGTAATAATTCACAGATCCTTTTGCTGTTGCAGATGTATCCACTTATCTTGTCTCCAAACAGTAGGAGTAGTTAATTTCATCAGTTTTCCTGTCTAATGGTTTTAATTTCTTTGTGAAGAGAGATGATGTTGAGACAGGTGACTTTGTCATAAAAAAGGTAGGCACATGCTTCTTGACAATCTCTTACAAATTTGAGAATATAGTGCAATGAGAGGAAAAATCAGTTGTATCAGCTGAGGAGCAGATGATGTTCCTTAGTTCCTTTAGTCATATAATTCAGTATGCTTTTGCTTAAGAGGCTGCATGAGAGAAAGGGAGACACTTATTCTCACATTCCTGCTTGCATTGGGGATGGAAAAAGATATTAAGTTTAGAAAGGAAATTTGGGGTGTTCACAGACAAAAATCATAAGCATTTTGAATCTGTGTTTCACACCAAGAATGGCCCACATTTAACAAAATAATATTGATTCACTTCCACCTTAAAAATTTCTTCTTAAAAATTCCATCTCTGTGAACTAGATGGAAAATTCAGTGCTTCTATGGGCAGAAGAAGTCACAGATGATATATTTATCCCCATTTTCATCACAGACAAGACCTTCTGCAGGTGGGCTGACCAATTTATACGTGTAGACGAAGACCAATTTGGGAACATCTGATACCAGGAAAGGCAGAGAACTGAGCTTCTCAGTGTGACATGCAGGTCTGCCAGGGGTGTCTGCACCAGTGTCAGCACTGGGATGACCAACTGATTTTTTCCTTTGTGAAGGTGCCAGACTGTCTGGAGCTGCAACACTGTGCAAATACTGCTAGAGTCCCATCAGGTAGCCAGGGAGAGCCAGACTGCAGGGAACAAGAAAGGCACCAGTGGCATAAGGCACTGGAAAGCTTCTTCCTCTTGACCACACCAAAGCTTCTCCTGAGATTTTGCAGGGAAATAAATCGAAGTGTAGTTTTGACAATTTGAAACTTCCCAGACCCTCTTGGAGAGGAAAATGTATAGGACTTGGTGCTGGCTAGGAGCAGCTCAGTACACCATGGAGGAAACCTATTCTGTTACTACTTGATCCACGAATAGACCTAAAAGGAAAAAATAAACCTCAATTAGTGGTCAGCCAAAGGCTGTTATGGAACAAAAGTGATCTGATTACTTCAATAAGGGTATTGCCATTGGGTAGGTTTGAGCCTTCTTTGTTCATGTTCTTGGCAGTTCATCTCAATCAAGTCACTGTTATCGATACACAGAGTATTCATTCACTGGGGAAGGATGATTATCCTAAATGGAAACCACTTGTGCCCTGTAACTAGAAGATGAGAATCACTGTCCTGATTACTTTTGTTTTCCTGTCTTCTTGCAGTGTATACAAGGCATTAAGTGAGTTGATTTAATAAAATTAATCTATGAAATATCCAGATTAAATTTAATCCTTGTTTTAGCTTTTGGATTGCATTTAGAATGCTGGTGGGTTTTGGGGGTTTGGTGGTGTTTTTTTTTTATTCTCCAACTATCAGAAACATGGATTGGGAAGCTCCTATGCCCATAGGGCATTCACACCATCTTCAGTTGTCCAGTCTCGGTGCTAAGAGGGATTTGTTCAAGATATTGCACATAAAACAACTTTATCATAGAACAAACATTATACCAACAGTGAAAATCTGAGTCACTGGAGATATTTTCAACATTTGTAGCATTTAAAAAAAAAAAAAAAACAAAAACAAAAAAAAAAAAAACACAAACAAAACCCTCCTGTGGTAAACAAGTCTGTTTCTCTGTGATTTCTTGCTTATGAGGTGGAAGTGTCTCAAGTAGACCTTGAACAGATGGAAAAGGCTTCACAGCATGTAAGGTGACAGAGATGTGGGCTCCATAGGTCACATATACAGTGGACTGGAAATCAGGCAGGGGTCAGATTTCAGAATTGCTCTGCTCCCACCCACAGGCTGTCAAATTAAGGACCTTTTGTTCAGAAGAAAACAGCATGGTACAGCTTGTCATTCCAGAAGAAATTCTTGGGGTTTTGACAAGAATTAAGAAACTAAAAATCCTGAGGCAGAAGGAATGGCAAAGGAAGGGAAGACCACATACAGGTGGAACAATCCAAAAAAGGACACTTTTCCACAGGAAGTTTTTTAGTTGCAAAGCATTAAGATTTTGGCAAAAAATATCTTTAAAGTCTCCAAGGTGAAAAACTAAAAAGGAAAAGCAACAAACCCAAAACAATTGAAACTTTTGATTTGGGGCTGAAAAAATGCCAAGATTATTTTTTCACCTCTAATTTCAGTTGGAGAGACTTTCCCTTGAAAATTAATGTTTAGTTAAATTGTTATTTTCTATCAGATGAGGAAGTTCTGATAGAAAACTTTTGACTGCTACTCATTGACACTCTCCCCATTCACTGATTTTCAGATGGTCCCACTGGCCAGCACTTTTAGGACAGGCAGGTATTTTGGTGGGCGTGCTGTGACTTCAGTCTATGTTTCTCAGGCTTGTTAGACAATGTGATCTTTCCTCATTCCGCTGAAAAACCCTAGTTTTACAGTAAGTTTTAACTTCTCTTACAGAAAAACTGAACAACTCACTAAAGAATTGTGACGTGTGTCCTCTCATTAGACGTAACTCAAAGAAACTTCTAAAATGTACTGAAATTTGAAGGCATACTCTTCTTATTAAATCTATACATTGCTCAAGAGAAAATAGCTGCCAACAGAATAATTGAGACGTCATGATTAGCAAATGTAATTTTCCCTGGGGCAGCATATGTTTAAAAAAAGCAAACAACAGAGTAGAAGAGGGTCTGTTTAAATGTGGGATTTTGAATAAATGAACAGCAGAATTTGAACCAGCAACTCAATTGTTATTGTATTTCAAGGTACATAAAAAGAGAAATGACAGATGGCTCATTAGAAATTTAAAGATTTACTCAGTATTACCTCTTCTATTTTAAAAAGCAGCATGTTCTCTTTGAAGTATATGATGAAATGGTTTAAATTTAAGGGCGGAAGGAATCAAAGATATGATGCAGAGGAGCTATAATTGAGAGATAGTGCTTAATATCTCTTCTTAAGGGAAAAAATCACAAGAATAACAAGAATATACACAATTCATGTAGTATAAACTTGCTGGGTGTTTAGAGTTGTCTTCCTCACTTCCCAAATGAAAAATGATCCATTGGCCTATATCTTTTACCTAGCTTTGACAAAAGGCTGGTAGAAGGGAAGAGGGACAATTCAAGAAAATTCATCAGACTACTCTAAAACTAAAAGACAGAAAGATATGAGAAAGCAAGGATGTGAAAGAAATCACTCAAAACCACCTTGGCCAGAAAAAAAAGCAAAGCAAAACATTTTGAAACAAAAATCTTAAGATTGGCCTTAGGCAGAGAGACAACTATGTATAAGCAACTCAGGTCTTCCAGAGGAGTGTCCTGCTGTTATTAAAGTGGAGCTGAAAAGAGATTGCAACAAATTCTTTAACAAATATGCAGCTGCATCAGGTACACTAATTGAAGCATTGTGCAAAAGTAAAAACAAAACTCAGATTTAGATACTGACAGACAGTATAAATAGAACCTGCCCTGACGGTACACAGTGATCTTGAGTACTACAGACTTTATAGTAGAACACTGTATAAAAGGTAAGGAAAGATAATAAAAGTCATAAGTTATAGTGAAAGAATACCAGATTCTCTCTGTTCACAAGGTAACAGGGCATTCAGAGGTTGCTGAACCCATGGAAACTACTTGTGGAGATCTGTAATGAAGTTATAGCATTAATGTCTTTTCATTATTACTACTGCACATAAGGGGAAACAAACCTAAATTCAGTCTTCCTGGCCATATAAAAACACATTAAATACCTCTCTAAAAAAGAGTCTTATGTTCTTCTGTTAACAAAACTGCATATAGAGTGATCCACCAGGGCTAAATATGTCATGTCATTAAAGACTCAATACAAAAGTGAATAGACTATGTGTGAATGTTCCCTGTAGGTAGAGGTTTCCTCTAGTTGCACAGCACTGGTGCTTTTTCTGTAGTCCCTCATCTAATTCTGGAGCTGGCACCAAATACTTTGCCAGGACACCCTTTACTCTGATGTTCAGATAATGCAGTAGCCTGTGGGAGAAATGAACCAGTTCTGCAGAGACAGAAACTTCTTCACCTGCTGCTTAGTACAGAGATGGGAGAGACTTGCCCTGAAATCAGAAGCAGACAACTAATGCCAGGCTTCAGAAATGGCTCAAACTCTGCACAGAGGACCCTGTCTTTGGCCCAGTGTTTTGTCCTGGTGTCTCCAGGAAAATGGTTGTCATCTCCAGTTGTCAAAATAGATGATGAAACAACCAGGAGCAGAAAGAGACACGAGCAGTAGGGGTGAGTGGTTGTTAGTTTTAAGTAGATTATGAAATTTTGCATTTCTATCAAGTTGTCTCAGTCCTTGTGCGTGTTGCCTGTTTGTTCATAGACATGTGAAAGTTAAATTCACTTTCCTAGGTTTGACAGTATTTTGAAGGTGCTGTGAACTGGATAGCTATGAGTATTGGGAAGAGAGAGTGTAAAAGAGTAGCCTTGCTTCAGTTCTGATTTTCTCTGTGATTCCACGTACATGACTTGCTCCCTTTTGTGTTTTATTCTCTCCCCATTAGAAGAATAGCAGTTCAATTAAAGGTGTTGTGTAGCAGCAAGGTATTACAGACTTAACAGCATCAGCAGATGAAAGCTACATTTTGTATGTCATCAACTTCTCTCCTGTGTGACAAAAAAATATTTACTTGTCTTGACTTTGAGTTGTATAATCAGTGAAGTTCAGCTGTTCTGAAACTAATTTACAGTTTATATTATTGAGGGATATTGAGTTTCTCATTAAAAATATGTTTTACTTTTTTGGTTTCTTCTGATCAACAGCTTTTTCCTTCCAGATTTAAGTAATAGTAGAAACCCACTGAAAACAAACACATAATTCATGTACATTTAGAGAATGTAGTTTGTAGTTAGTTGAGGCTGTAATGACTGTTGCACCTCTTATTCACAATTACCATTCTGTCCCATAACTTACAGGGTGACTTAACATATAAACTGTTGATCAAAATACCTGTCAAATCATATGGAGCTTGATGGAAATGGTGGAAGGTAGTGGTATCCTCACGGAGTTGAAGCAACAATCAAGAAAGACACTTTTCTGTAGCTGAGCAGAAACTGACAAAAAGTAAAGGAGGAATAATGCAAATTCTTAGTGAGGGTTATTCAGAGACAGCAGTTGCAAGCTTCAGCCTCTGCCAAAGGTCTGTGGTTCTCACAGCTTCTTGTGGCTGACTTATTGGAAAATGCATAACTTAATAGTTTGTAAGTTTGTCCCACTGAGGACAGTAGACCCTCTTGTGCTAGAGTTTGTGGTTGAATGTCCTACACTCCCCCAGTGAGACTAACATTTACCAATCTTCATCTCAGATAGACTGAATACTGCTGGTCAAACATGTTCCCCAAAAGCAGAGCATCTTCAAGGAAGCGGCCATCAGGTTTATTTCACAATGCCTAATTTTAATAGAAATACAACATTTGATCTCAGAACTGTCTCCCTGTTGCGGCTTCTGTTCACCCGTATGCAGTTTTTCACCCTGTTCTTAAGAAAAAACTATTATCCTAACTCGCTTCCTACCTAATTTTTTTCAGGCTCTTGTTTCATTCACTAGGTGTAGTCAATTTATTTCCCAGAGGGACAAGACAGAATTTAATTCAATAAATTCTCCTTGTTCTGTGTTTCAGTGTATGCGCTGAACAGCATTTGTCAGGTATTCCAGAGTTGTCTGCTGAGAGGAATATTATTTATTCAGACAACTACAGCTACAGTGTACCTACCAGAAAACACATCTCCACTAAACTTTCAGAAGAGTTGAAGTGATGCCTGAAAGGGGAAGTCTCTGCAGAATTTGTTTTTTATCTTCGCCTAACAGGGTCACAGGTCTTCATTCTAATAGCTCCCTTAAGCAAACTCTGGCCTAAAGAACATACCAACACTTGGAGGCAATTTATAAATAACATGAAGGCCAAAAATGTATTCTGTGTAATAACTTAAACTGGAAAGACACAAATTGGAATAAACCCCTGCTGCATATGTTGGATTGCCTATTATTATGTTATCAAGAATGACAAGTAAAAAACAACAAAATAAGTGGCCTCGAGGAAAGATGAAATACCACAGGAGGAGCAAACCATCCCATGTGCCCTTCCCATCTTAGAGAGGAGGACTCCTTATTATAAAAGTTGCTTTGCTGGTGTGTCAAGTTGTCAGCAGTGTCACTGGATACATCAGAACGAACTTTACTTAAAAGTTAACTTGGGCAATTTGGCCCTAAATCACTATTCTGATTTCACATAATGATCATATATATGCTTAGTTTTCACCTGGTAGAGCTGCTCAGTGTAGTTCTGGGTCAAGTAAAAAGATAGGTTGGCAACTTTATGGCATGCATATGCTGCTAGATCTGGATCCTCCGTACAAATTCTCGAGTTAGCTGTCAAACCTATTAGGTTAGGCACTGCTGTCTGCACCAAGTGGCATGGAAAAATGCCTCTTTCACTGGATGCTGATTCTGTGCCACTGGTTGGTAGGATACTGAGAGAAGGGAGAGCAAAATTGATTTGTGTGCCTCTCCCTGTGCATCTGCAGCATACCGGTATCTCACATTTCAAGGGAGTGATTAGGGAGTAGAGAGTATATTCTAGACCTTACCTACAGTATTTTTCCAAGAAAATTTTTTATTAAAGTATCTTTCCCTCTGCAGAAACTCTTCCTCTCCAAAAGTTAAAGCCCAGAGAAACCAAAATACACAAGAGAAAATGAAAAGTTACCTACCAATTTTTGATTCTGAAATGCTGTTGTAGTATTCTGAAACTTTTAGTGTTCTTTCTAATCACCCAGATCTCCTTAAGAAGAAATAGAACAGATTTTTATTTATTAAAAAAAAAAAAAAAAAACCAAAGCACAGCTATTCCTCACCTCCAAACATGACTTGCTCAATCCAGTACACTCCAGTCCCTCTTCAAAATTCTCTGGGTACCTGTGAAATTTTCTGACAAACAAATTCATGGAATAGTATTGAATATTGACAATCAGTTAAAATAAAATAGAATAAAAGACTGAGCTTCAATCTCAACCTGAAGCAGGGTTGGATGTTAAAATGAGAACTAGCATGTGGTTGAATTGAGGAGAATGGAGGTTAAGACAATGTCAGCATCAGAGAAGTCCGTCTCAAATAAATTGTTAACATTTCAAAGGTCATTCCTTTTCCTACTGCTTACTGATGCACATTTCATATTTCACAGAACTTACATTTCTGAAGTCAATATTCAAACTTTGGTGAAAAACTTTGTAGCTTCTAGAGACGACTTCTACCTGTGACAGGAATGTGATTCATGCAAGAGAAGACCTACACTTGGCGGTAACATCCATCGATGGTGAAATTTTGAACTTTACCACCCATTCAAGCATAAAAAGCAGCCTGTGATGAACTGAAGATTTCAGAGATGACATTAGATGACTAAGCTTCTAAATTTCATCAGAATTTAAATCCCAGGCTAGTTTTCAGAAATGCCTGTCCTTTACCTTTCCTTCCCCTGACTTTCCTCCTCTAGTGTTAGGATACCCAAACACCTTGCAAGTGGTAGGGGTTTTTTTTATATTTTTCCATGGCACTTATGGGACAGATTCAAGCTGGCAGAAATGCTGGTGGTTTTGCTGGTGAAGACAAAGGACCTTTCACTTTGAGAGACAAGGTGGAGTTGTTCTTATCAAACATAATGAAAGTGACTGTTCATTTACAAACATTTTTCTTTATATCAATGTGAAACTATGGAGTTGGTAGGCATTCCCAATTCAAGACCAGATGATCATAAAAGACAAATTAGGTAAAATCTTTACCTGGAATGGTGGAAAACAGATAAATTTGAGTAATGCAAAAAGTTCAAAGCCATGCAATTAATAATCAACAACTGGGCTGCCTGTTATGAAATGGAGTCTTGTCATTTGATGTGAAAAGGAAGGAGATCTGTACTCTGTGTCAATAATTTTACTGCTTTGAACTGCATAAATCATCCCACTGAAGACAAAACTAACGTGACTCCAGCTAAAATACATGGAGTGAAATACAAGCATGAAAGTGGAACATGAATATCTTTATATAAGGCACGGGTCCTGGATCTTGAAGGTTCTTTTTCCAGTGTCCTCTTAGAAAGATTATGAACTTGAACTGCAACAAATGTTAGGCAAGGTTACTCAGATTATTATAGAAGTGTAAGAAAACAAATTATAAAGTGTGGCTTGGCTCAGTCTGCTAAACAAGGGCAATATAGTTGCTTTTTACAAATATGTTCAGCTTGGCTACACATCAAGAGAGGGGAAAAATTATCTTAAACTAATCCTGGCACCACATCAGATAGTTGTAAATTGGTCATGTATAAGTTTAGACTGGAATTTAAGAGAAATTTTCTAACCGCCCAAATGGTGAAGATCTGGAAAGGTCTTCAAAACAGAACAAGGAATCCAAGTGGTTGGGTTGTAAGATGGAGCTTGAAAATAATTTTTGGAAGGAGGAATTAAGCTGGTGGCATGAAGGCTTGTTTCTAAAGCTGTATAAAAGGAAACTGGGTCACTCTTTATTTATAGAATATTTGTAGCTGCGCATTGCAGGAGGGACTTTCTTTCACCTTTAAGCAAAATTTAGTTCCATGCCCCACCCATCATTTTTCTTTTCATTTTCCTCCGCCTCCCACAGAGGCACTGGAGGATACTGGCAGATTGATTTCTGTTCCCAGCAGCAATAGGTCCTTGGGAGCTGCATGCTTCATATGCCCCACTCATAGACTTGAAATTTGGATTAATCAGATGTCAGTTCCCTCAGGTTATGAGGAACATGGATTAGTTGTAACACAGACACAGAGATACATGCAGGCAACTGGCAAGAGCTGTTAGGTGGGGGGAAGTTTTCCACTAGTAGCAGAGACAACTTTCAAGGATCACTAGAGAGTTAAATTCCTTGAATTGTGTTATAAAGAATATTTGGGATATGAATTGTGTCCTGGCTGTTCACTCTTTTTTTTTTTTTTTTTTTTTTTTTCTGTGGCACTTCATACCACTGACTTTTATTTTTCCTTTTTCTTTTCTTTTAAGACTGATATGACATACATTATGAGATGACAAAAATGGCAGAGTATTTATCCAAGGACTCTGTGTAGTTTGGTGAATTGTTTGCTGTGACACTAAACTATACTTTAAGACTACAAAAAGGGACCAAAATAAGATGCAACAGTTTAGGGTCCAGCAGACTCCAGTCTGAAACAAGTACACTTTTGATATCTGGGAATTAATGAAGTAGTTTAGTGCTTTTATAGAATAGGAACTGAATTGTTATCTCATAGATAGATTGCCTAGGAAATTATTATTATCAGCAGCAGGAGCAGCAGCAGCAGCAGCATCATACCTTTGTTATTTTCTCATTTAGAAAAAACAGCTTTTTTAGGGTGAGTTGAAAACATCTTTTTGAATCAAATGTCAAAAAACGAATGCATGTCATATTTGTACAAGTGAAGGTGATGCACAAGTAAAAATTCACTGTAATTTTGTCCCACTATTTCTTTAAAACAGTATGATGTTATACTCAAACTTCAGATGCTAATCTATCTTTAATCTGTTTCTTGAATGCTTAGATTCCAAGCTGTTTTAGCTTTCCTTGCTTATCAATCTGAGCAGAAGAATATATACTGATATAAATCACTATAGTCCCAGCAGCTTTAGCGTTAATCTGAATTTAGCCACAGCATTTTCAAGAAAGCAGACCTTGTTCATGCAAAGACTGTGAATCACGTGTGGCTGACACTCTTTAAAGGCTTTAACACCTTATTTGGAAAGGAAAACTTGGGCAAAGTACAGCTCTTGCCTCTTACATATGCACTGCCTTAAATAAAATACACAGGTGAATGTTAAATATATGTCAATTTAACTTAATCCAAGGAAACCACTATGTTGCAATAGTGAAGGAATAACATAAACATCCACTGCCTACTACTTTCCTTATAGAACCCTGATATTTCTTTAAAAGACCTCTTAAAGCTTTCCCACTCCTCTTCTACCTGCTATGTTTTACTGTTTCAGGGTTCTGAAACACTCAGTGATTAAGTAACCTGCTGAAGGCCCTTTCATTTTCTGTGGCAGATCTGGGATGTGCTCCAAATCTAAACTCAGGGCCAGTGCTGCAACTGTGGGATTACTTCATTTTTCCTCATCCACAAGGTTTCAGAATTGCATTAAATTCAAGACCCTCTTCCTCATACACAGTGCTATCTCATAAAGAAAAACCAAACCTGTCTCCTTTCTTCTGATAATAGCTGTTGAACAATAGAGAGCACTGCTTGTATTTTGGAGCATCTTTTAATTTCTCTTGGGTGTAGCTGTGTGAGTGCATGGGAGGATATATGTTAATGGCATAAATCATGACTACACCCTTGCATTTACATCTGTAGCTAGAGTCCCAGGGTACTAAAGGTTTCAAGACAGAGAAATGAGACAGAAAATGCATCAACACTTTAGGCAGGCACTAGGTGTAAAAGTGGCTCTTTCTGGAGCTGAGCCTGAGCTCTGGGCTGAAAAACACACATGGTTCCAGGCTGAAAAAGACCACTGGCAAATGACTTAACATCTTCTGTGGTAGGTCCCGCTGTGAGATTCCAGCCAGCTCCAGCAATGATTCAGAGGGAAGCCAGCATCCCACTGCTGCTGAGTCACTGCTGCCACTTCCTATGGCACCTGGTTTCACTTGGAAACGGCCCAGAAAAGTGGCTGTGGCCTATGAGGTCTGCTGAACCAGAGAAGACTGCATTGCAGACACTCTCCAGGTCCGTTAGTCCACAGACTCAACCCTGTGTATAGGTGGAGCTGTCAATCTCCCAGGCGTTTGCCACAGGACAGCGAAGGCATGGAGGAGGAAGCAGGCTTTGTCACTGACCTGTAGCTATAATGGGGTTGGTGACACCCCACAGACCCTCCTGCTCCCAGGTACTATGTAGTCAAACACTTACCCAGCAGTTCATAATGGTGATCTCTTACATGGAGAAAATGGGAGACGCCAATTGTTTGGGCATTTTCTGCTCTACCATGTGAGCAGCACCACAGGTTAGAGCTTCTACTCCTTGTGTTTTATTTGCACTTAGTCAAATGTTCTTTGGCCAGATTATTTAGGAAAAAATAAAGAAGTCTGGGGGATGATTCAAAACAGCCCTGGGCCAAGATCTTGCCATTGTTTGACAGTGTGAAAACACAGCAAACTTTGTGCAGTTTCAGGGGTTTCCTCGTATCTGTTGACTCCGTCTAATGTTCTGGGGACCTACTGGAGAGCTGAATCCTTACTGTTGTCTTTCACATGTATACGGGGCTTGTCTGTTGTATCCTTTTCTAATTCTTACCAACTAATAGCTTCCACATTTTTTAAGTCTTTAAATTATAAAGTTGTTCTCTCCTGACTGTATTACCTGTGAAGTGTAAAGTTACTTAATGCAAATAATAAGTCTAATTCAAGTGCTTTATAAATAATTATTACCTTCTATGGATTAGTCCTTTCCAATTATTATTCGATACACTATTAACTCTTGCTCTGGCACAATTAAATGAATAAATTTAGGTACTTTGAATTATACTCCAGTAATATTATTTGGTTATTTTCTTTTACTTTGGACTTGTCCTGGTTTGGGCTGGAAGAGAGTTAACGTACCTCTTTGGTAACTAGAATAGTGCTGTGTTTTAGATTCAGCACTGGGTTTGGTACGAGAACAATGCTGATAGCACACATGTTTTCGGCTGCTACTGACATTTCAAAGACTCTCTGACTCCCCATGTCCTGCCCGTGTGCAAGTGCACAAGAAACAGGGAGGGAGCACCAGACCCAAATTGGCCAATGAAATATTCCATATCACGTAACGTCATGCTCACTATATAGAGGAGGGGTGGTTGGGAAGGGGGGCTCTCTCCCTTTCTCTCTTGCTTCTGGGATTGCGATTGCGGGATCTTGGTATTTCAGGATCTCTAGCCAGGAACCAGCTGGGTATGGGTCAGTGGGTGGTGAGCAATTGCACTGTACATTGCCCATTTATATTTGCTATTGCTGCCATTGTTTTCATTTTATTACCATTATTAAACTGTTTCTATCTCAACCTGCGAGTCTCCCTTTACCCCTCCAATTCCCTCCCCCATTCCCAGGTCAGGGGGGAGGGTGGGTGAGCAGCTGCGGGGTGGTTGGCTGCCAACCAGCCTCAAACCATGTCAGGACTTTATACTAGTATATATATAACTATAAACTCTCTTTCCCCGTTTTGTACTATATATTTTACCTATATATTTAGCCTCCTTTAATGAAAATGTTATTTGTTGTAGGTTATACATTTCTTAAGTGACAGTAAATTTGCTTCTATATTCACTTTTTTATTCACAAAATTATATATATATATATGTAGGCAATTTTGGATCATGACTGTATGCCTATTTATATAGGTCTCTCTGTATTTATACACACAACTCAGATTGCCTGTATAAAAATTCCTTTGCAAATTGACGAATTAAATTTATGGACAATCTGTAAGACTGTTATATTGGAGAGGTAAGAATTGCCTCTTACATCTGATTGAAATAAAATTGCTTGTGAGCACAGACAGAAAAATCATAGTTACCTCTAGCAGAACTTTTTCAAGTATTTCAGTCGTATAGAAACAATTTTATAAATGAGATCCTACAAAAATTGTTCCAGATTGATGGCAGAATCAAAAGAATTCTCACTGTCCTTCTTAGGGTTCAGTGCAGTTCATTGGTTTTTTTTCTGTAGAAAAACAATATTTCATTCTACATTTTCAGCTGAGAATAAACTACTCCTATAATAAAAAGTCACAGGCATTTCTTCTGCATAACAGAAGGATCTTATATGGTGTTTTAATCCAGCCATATGTCCATAAAGAATACTTTACTAACTTACTCGAGGAAAAAGTCCTCCCAGTAAATATATGTGCCATTCAAGTTGAGGTCTGGTATCAGATTTCCTGGGAGAGGAGCAGGCAACCATGTGGCACATCCTGTTTGGGAACCTCGAAGGAAAATATTTGGTGGTAGTGACTCAGAGAGGTGTCTCTCTTCCCTCTGAGTCAGGACTGAATCAACACCCTGGCACGCAGAGCACACAGCACTGCTGAAGATGCTGTGATTTGGGTGAGTCACTAAAACCATGCTCTTCACCTCCTGTGGTCACTGCAGATCCCAGAACGCTCTCTGCATCTGCCTAGGCATTCTCCCTGATCTTCTTGCCATTGGGCAATTCTGCCCACAGAAATCCCTTCTCTAGTTTCATTAGCCATTATGATTTCTTCACTTCCTGCCATCTGCAGCCCTGCACTCTTCCCTTCCACTGAGCATCTGCAACATCACTTTGCAGTACTCCTCATATTTTATTGGGGCTGATGCAGTGACTTATGCATGAAGGTCTGATTCTGCAGTCTTGCTCCTGTTTTAACTTACTGCTATGTTTTGTATCTAACAAGAATTCAGGACTAATCATGTACAGGAATTTCTAAGAGGTCGTTTATGCCCTCAGTTCCCCATAAAACTCAATTATTGAACACTGTTGAGCTTTTGTCCCCCTTGGTCTGAGATGTCACCCCCTTCTGGTGATGTCAGCTCTCTGTGAAGGTATAGCTGTTACAGAAAGAAGCCTACCTTTGGTAGTTGCAGCTGGCACATCTTCTGAAGCCCTGACTAGGTATCATAGACTACAGATAGCATAGACTACAGAGTGGGCTAGCAAGCAAAAGATAGTTTTTCACTGCTGTTATTCATTGTAGACCTGGTACCTGCAGAGAAATGGATTTTCCTATTCCCAAGTTCAACAATAAATGTCTTCATTCTATAAACCCACTTTTTTTTTTTTTTTTATTAATGCTTTGTATCCTTTCTGGGTCCAGAGAGAGCAGCACTTGGACTTTCTTTGAATCTTTTGTGACCAGCATAGTGCTTATAGAAGGACATACTGATTTTAACAAAACCTTATGGTATCCCCTGCATTTTCAGGCCTGAATTACTTAGAGAAAATGTGGAGAAATTATTTATTTTAAGAAGCAAACATTGAGAAAAAATGAGTTCTTTTTCAGAAAAAAAAACCCTAAACAGTCCTGTTCTCAAACAGTTGTCATGTGTTGTTTTCATATGTGTAACTTTTATACTGGAAACTGCAAGATGGGATCCAGGAGTTGAGGTCTCTGAAGAGAAACATAAGTTGTGAGCACTCATAGCCTGTAACAGAACAGATTTATTACTAATTACAATGGAGCTGCCACTGTGTGAATGGCTGCTGTTATATTTTTCATTTTATTATTTAAACAACAGCATTGTAAGAGCAACCAGACCCTTTCATGTCAAGCAGCAATTCATGTCAAAACAGTCACAGTTCAAAGACAGGAAAAGGAGTGCTGATGTGGAACGGAGGCAGCACTATGAGGACAGTTTTCCAGGATCATTACAGCAGTGTATTGGCACACCTGGAAATGGAGCTTCAAGCTATGGACTCCTTTGTCATGTGTTCTACAAAAGTAAGTGGTTTATGAAGTATATATGACATTTACAATATACTCATTTAAATACTGAGTCTTAATGACATCTTAATGGAGTGAGATGGTCTGATAATCTCCAGAAATACTTGAATGTAGTGGCAAAAAAGCCTGTGGACTATCAGCAGTAGAAATACAGCATGTGTGCAACAGCCACGTTATCCTCAGTTACAGGCTAGCATGGACAATTGTATGCCACTGTGGACACATCCCTTTCTCCCTCATGCATGTCATCAACAGTTACACAGGAAACACAATGTTTATTTAAATCTTCCCCAACTCCTTTAAAATGCTGTCTCCGACTGCAGGCAGCTGTTGATCCAGACTTAGTCATTGTTGCCAGGTTTTTGCAGGTTATGGAAGACATGTAGGAAAATGTTGCTTTCTCAGATGAGATGGTATAGTTCAGAACTGGATGCTGCTTGTCAAAATGCTCATCTTATTTTTTTGGTCCTCTTAAAGGGGAAAAAACATTCCTTGCAAACTTCACAGTTTACTGCATAAAAATAATAGAGAAAATTGGCTGCTTTCAGAGACTCACAACTTCTGTTTAACTGTATTCATGTTCAAATGTGTATTAGGGGTGTCTTACTTAAGAATGAGATGGGGTTTTATTTCTTAAATAGTCTCTGAGTTTTTATCAGCCTTCTTTCCATGTGTATTCTTCCATGTCTTTATGTTGTTTAGAGAATGAATACAATATTAAGCTGATATGATTGGAAATAATTGGAAATACATTGCTCATTAAAACCAAAGATGATGATGCTTATATAGGAAAACATGAAAGGTACTAAAAAACTATTAAGTTAAGTAATAATTAGAAGTTAGCCTTCTCTGGTATCATCACATAAGGGCATTAGGAGAGGGGGGAACCACAAACTTTTTCGGAATATTTTTCTAGAAATAAAATCAGACAGATATAATTATCACTTCTATTGCACTTACCCGCTTTTTGTGCTGACTGTCCTTTCAATGACTGTAGGTCTCTCCCTGACTCACACAAGTAAAGCACAATGACACCTTGATCATGTGAACTACATTCTGTGTTTAAGCTGTATTACCATGTACTTTACAGGTGTGCTGAATTTGACCTCCAGACTCTACTTGTGTTCCATGCCAGCTGATGGAAATCTTGCCTTTGACTTCAGCAGGAGGAAGTTCAGGTCTGAAGTTAGTTTAATTATTCATTGTAATTAACACTTGCAACAAACACAGCCCTTTATCTTGTGAGCAACTTTCTTGCCAATCTTGCCTAATTCCAGTTTTACAGTTCTTCTGTCTCCAGTCAGGTTGAGGACCATTTCCTTTGTCATGCTTTTGTTTTGATGTTGCATGGGTGCAACATGTTCCAAAAGAAAAGGTATCAAACTTCAGCAGGCATGGATTTCTAGGTAGGTATGTGCCTTAGAATGAAGATTTTAATTTGCTTCTTGCCTCCTGTTTTCTCCATTTTTTTGTCTGTCTTAATTGTCACAACCCATGTGTTCAGCACACAGTGCCATAGGACCTGGCAGTCTCTGTGGCATCTGTGCACTCCTGTGATGTACACAGTATTAAAGAGATCTGCCTGTGTTTCTGCTTAAACTACACAAGCAGAGAATAAAACAATAAGATATACCAGGTCTGGGTTTTTTGGTTTTGGTTTTTTGTTTTGTTTTTTTTTTTTTTTTTAATCAAAAGGCCCGGTGTTAAGCATTTGTACCTAGGGATTTCTTTCAGAAAATAGTTTTGGTTTGTTTTGCTTTGTTTTTTTTCAAAAGATTGGTGAGTACCACATGCTTTCAAATCACAGCATAGGAATCCTGATACTTCTATTTTCACCACGTTATGTTTATTGGGTCTTTCATCGGGGGTTGACCCTTTAGGGCTGTGTGCGTCCTACTTCACAGTCATCAAAATAGGGATGTGGCTCAGCCTTAACTCCAAATGAGACAGCATTGAAGGACAGTCAAGATCAAAATCAAAACATCTGCCCAAGTATACATGAAACAAAGCTTGTCTTAGTATTTCTATTACCCTAAGCAATTAGCTGAACCCCCAGGTCTGCTTTGTTTAATGTTTCCCTTACAGTACGTATCTGGAATTAAAATTTGGACTTTTCAGGCTTTTTAAAGAACATGTCTGTTTAAATACCAAATCCTACTCACCATGCAAGAGCTTTTATTTGCACATATATCCAGAAAGTCTGAAAAGTTCATTTTACCTATGTATATATCCAACTATAATGCCACTGGTAGCGTGGTGTGTGGATGGATTTTGCACACTGACTTTGAGTTGTTTTTTGTTTAAAAC